CAATGACATGAAAATGAATCACTGAAAAGTGCTGTTTATGTGTGAAAGACTGCAGGATTGTCTGTTTTGGTAATTGTAGCAACGGCAGGTAGGAAGCCATATGTACTTTACATGTACTCTCAAGTCTTCTGCTGCACAGCTGCAATGTGCAGCGGATGCCTGCCTCTCTCTGGGGGGTTTTCCTCTGCTCAGAAATTGACTGTAATAAACTCTTCTGGAATAATCAGCACTGGGATTAGGCTAAATCAGAGAAAGGCACTCTCATTCTGGAACAAGTGTGTCCACACACAGGCTTATACTGAAATAAATATTTCTAGTAATTGAAATAGCTATTTTAGTAATCTCCCAAATGTAGAAGAGCCTTTAATGTGCTCTCTCCATTTCTGTAAAGCTTGGACTGTCTGGATCAGAATTAGCCTACGTGCTCTCTGGTGGTATTAAAGCATGCACTGTTGAGTGGGAGCTGAAGGGAACTATGGTACTTGGTAGAGTTCACCTCTTAACTCTAGGTAAATGGTAGCAAAGGTTAAGACCTCTGCTTTAGGATACACGTGGATGTGGTTAGCTGAGAAATTTAGGACTCAATTTTTCTAATTTCTTTTGTTCTGATGCTTCTGCCAAGACTATCTGATCTGATGAGGTAGTTACTGCTGCCTTTGAATCTTAGCTGCATGAAGAATAAAGAAGTTTCCATGCCAAATGGAGAGAAACACGAGGTTAAAAAAAAAACACTGGTGCCTGGATGGGCTCATGGTTCAGACTTAGCACAGAATGTTATCTTCTAGTAGAATCCCTCAAGCACTATGGAACCGGCTCACTTGTTCTTAAGAAAGAGGGAGTGTTTGATATCTTTCAAGTGATCATCTCCAACGGACCCAGAAGTGCTGTTGGTTGGCTCTAGAGGGAGTCAAAGCTAGCCTTCCATGGTACATGGATGAGAACCGTCCAGATATAGTTCCTTTGAGAAGAGGGGGAAATGGAGAAGCTGGGAGAATTTTTCTTCTCTTGCCCAGAAAATAATCTACTCTAAAATGTCATAAGCAAGCCATGATCCATTTCTTGTTCTGTCAGAACAGCAAAGAGCAGTAAGTGCTCTCTCCCTCCTCCCTCACATTTAACTCTGATAAACCTCTGCATAGCGTTTAAGGAGCGCTAATTCCTTTTCCTCCCCTTTTTTATACAGTGTTTGAAGATGTTTGATTCCCTCTCCCCTCCCCCGTATATTAACAAAGGTGGGCCACTTAATGTGTGAATTTGCCCACCGGAATATTTAAATTGCTTTTGACTACATTTCCTATAAGCTTCCAACTCTAGCTGTAATATTCATTGCTGGGGGATAATGTGACTGCTGTACACCCTCCAGAGAAATCTAATTCAACCTGTGTCCACACTGCAGGGTTTTTACGCAAAAATCCTTTTGCGGAAGAGTTCTTGCACAAAAACTTCTTAAGCAAAAGCATGTCCAGACCTCAGAGCGCATCACTTTTGCACAAGAGAGCAAGAAAGCTCTGATGGCCTTTCAGAGCACCTGTGCTTTTTTGAATAGGCTCTTTTTGCACAAGAAACCCCTGCAGAGCATCCACACATACTTTTTTGCGCAAAAGCTGTAGCGCAAAAAGGAGTAATGCCTCATGGAATGAGGTATACCTACACTGCAAAAAGCCCTCTGTTCTGTCAATTGACTGTAGATTTTCTTGCGCAAAAAAACACTTGAGGTGTGGACACTCCATGGGTTTTTGCGCAAAAACAGCTATTTTTGTGCAAAAACCTTGTAGTGTAGACTGAGCCATAGGGTACGTCTACACAGAAGCGTTATTTTGGAATAAATTATGTTATTCTGAAATAACAGCACATCTACACAGCAAGCCATTATTTTGAAAAAATGGCGAGCTGGAAGACTTCTTATTCCAGCTCCTGTAGCCCTCATTTTATAAGGAGTAAGGGAAGTCAAAGGAAGAGTGCTCTTCCTTCAACTTCCTGCTGTGTAGACAGCACCAAAAGCCAAATTAAGCTATTTCAACTTCAGCTACACAATTGGCATATCTGAAGTTGCGTACCTTAATTCAACCTTTCCCCTGCTGTGTAGACGTGCCCATATTGCTTACTGATTTAGGCAAAATCCTGTCCCCTTTGCGATCACTGGGTATGGATCTCTGATGCAATTGAACAGATTTCTTTTTGCAAGCTTGGGGCAGGATTTCTGAAGCCACCATGCAAGAGGAACAAAGCCCTGTCACACTACAAAGCCCAGAGATGTATACCTACCTGCCATTCTCCCCCTGAAGGGGGAACACAGCAATAGTTGGGACGATTGCAGTATCAGGCCATGTAATACTTGTGCCACTCCTCAGTTCAGTGTGGGGGAAGAGCACTGCCCCTTTTAAACTAATGGATTATTGTATTTGGATCCTTCAGTGTTTCCTTTTGTGACTGACAGACTTGGCTTCAGCCACCTGACTCCAGTGGAGCCAGCACCATATCTGTATGTATTCATAGTACTGCCCAAGCAGAGAAAGCGGATTGAAAACTTACTGTCTTGCAAATACTCCAACCCTAACCTGGAAGCTTGAAAACTGACCGTGCAATGAAATTATACTATGGGTCAGGAATTTAACCGGGCTTTGTTAGGCAACAGGGCTTAAAAACCTTAGATACTAATGAAGAGACATGAATATTAGTGATCAAGAGAACAGTAAATATACTTAAAATTGTTCACACTGTCTGGTAGACTCATATAAACTACAGATGGAAAAAGACCTATAAAAGATTCCATTCCCTACCCATCCCTATCCAATGCTGGGTTTCCTGCTTTGTCTAGTCAGGTTTTAAATACCTTGTTTGTCATGGGATAAACCTACTTAGCAAATAGCAGCAGGGGCTTCTTGGGTCAAGTTACTAGCTCTTTTCTATTTTATTACTATTGTGGAGAAAATCACTTAAAATAAGGAAGACAGTTAAAGTAGAAAGAAAATTTAATAGTTCTCTGCCCTTTATATAGCATTTTTCATCCCATTGTCTCAAATCACTTTACAAAGGTATATAAGTATTATCCCCATTTAAAGACAGGAAAACCAGGGCTTAGATGGATTAAACCCTATATTCTTTAACTTAATGGTCTGATGTTTCCCTGGTGTTGAGTTCCTATATGTGCCGTTGCCTTCAGCAAGTTTTCTGGATGCTCAGCACCTCTGAAAACTCAGAAGAGTTCTTTAGTTCTTTGACTTTGAGTACTAAAGTTTGAATAATGTTGGCTTACGCAACATTCCCGAGGTAACAGAGTGGTCATTAATAACTCCAAAGGACTCTTCACAGGAATATGGATTAACTTGTGCCCTGGCCAGGTTCCATCTTTGACATTGCATTCTGTCTCCCTAAATTCTCTCTGCAGTTTGTTAAATATGGTGCTTTCCTTTCCTGTCCTAAACTGTTGTGTGGTGCTGTGTCTTTTGCTTTTTTCCATATTACCTCCACATTTCACCCTAGAGGTGGCAGCACTATAATTGTGGATGAAATGGTCCCTGGATATAGTACTCTGATTTATAGTTCAGTTTCTGTTTGTGAAGCATTTTGAGATTAAAGGGTTTTATTTATCACAGCATAAGAAGTTAAAGTTGAAACATTTGACCAAGTGTTTCATATACTTCTTTGGATCAAAAATATTTCATGATACTTTCTGGGTGCGTCTAGACTGGCAAAATTTTGCACAAAAGTGGCTGCTTTTGTGCAAAAACTTGCCAGCTGTCTACACTGGCTGCTTGAATTTGCTCAAGAACACTGACTTTGTAATGTACAAAATCAGTGCTTCTTGCGCAAATACTTTCACGCTCCCGCTCGGGGAAAAAGCCCTCTTGCGCAAGAATACTTGCGCAAGAGGGTCAGTGTAGACAGAGAAGAACTGTTTTGCGCAAAAAAGCCCCGATGGCTAAAATGGCGATCGGGGTTTTCTTGCGCAAAATCGCATCTAGACTGGCCAAGGATGCTTTTGCGCAAAAGCATCTGTGCCAATCTAGACGTGCTTTTGCGGAAATACTTTTAAGGGAAAAACTTTTCCGTTAAAAGTATTTCCGCAAAATCATGCCAGTCTAGACGCAGCCTCTCTGTTTATCTGCTAACATAATGTGAAAGCACAAGTTGCAGAGCCATCACCTGTGTTCTGATGAGACAAACCTTTGGAATTCTTGCTATGTTATGACTTCAAAGTAGCTTTCTTCCTTAGTCCCAGCTCCTGAAATTTTTTTTTACATGTCAGGTAGTCTTATCTGGGCATGTTTGCACCAGTTTGTATCATACCAATATTAAAAAGCAGTTGTCCATTTTATTGTATAGAAAATGTTGCACTGGATTCCTCTCTTCATGTGCACAGAAGAGTTAAAAGGAATCAATTTGGTTTACATAAATGATAGAACTATGCAGTTTTAAGTAACTGCAATGTATATGTGTGTTGCTTC